CGCGCTCTGGCTCGGTGTAGGGGTCGGGTTCGCGCTCGGACTCGGGCTCGCGCCGGAGCCTGCGCGGGCGCACGCGACACGCGCGCGCGCACACGCACACGAACGCGCGCACGAACGCGCACACGAACACGCATGAACGCGCACACGCGTACATTCTCGCACGCGCGTGCGCTTACGCACGCGCGCACGCGAACGCGGACTGTCCCCGTTTGAGGGCGAGGCGTGACTAAAATGCTGGAACACCCACCTCTGGGCCCCGTACCTCACCCCCGACCTTATGTATCGAAGTGGGGGGCCGAAAGGTCATTCACTGTCGCCGGGTGCGCTGACATGAGACTCCGCGGCGCGGATTCTGCTTGTTGTTATTGCGTTGCGTTGTTGTTGTCGCCGCTTCCCCCGCGACCCGGCCCGCGACCAACCCGTGACCCATCCAAAACATATCCACGACCAACCCCGCGACCCACCAACAACCCACCCGCGACCCGCCCCGCGACCCGCCCAACGACCCGCCCGCGACCCACCCGCGACCCGCCCAAGACCACCCCGCGACCCACCCCGCGACCCACCCGCGACCCAACCGCGACCCACCCGCGACCTACCCCGTGACCGCCCCGCGACCCACCCGCGAACCACCCGCGACCCACCCGCGACCCACCCGCGACCCACCCTCGACCCACCCACATTGCTTCAACGATAAGTCGGCGCCTGCGGCGGGCTCGTGGTATAATTTGAAATAAATGGGCGCCCGCGGCAAATTTCTGTTTCTTCAAGGCCTCACAAACTGCCGACGTCCCCGCCGCCCCCTCACTCTTATCCGCAACTGCCGGGTGCTACGTATTTTACGAGGGGCAATGGTTCCGACAGCCCATGCTGTAGCCTCCAGCACCGGATTTTGATGAGGGAAAGCAGCTCCAGCAGACGATGCGTCAAGAAGGGTGGGTTCCAGCACCCAGCTTTTACGATGGGCAATGGTTTCAGCAGCCCACGAGGTGGGTTCCAGCACCCAATTCTGACAAGGGGAAGTCGCTCCAGCAGATTATGCCGACAAGACGGGCGGGGTGTCGCCTGAAAAGGCAGCCATGGCGACCCGTGCCCTAGCCACGAACCCTCCTACAGTCCGTCAACCATTTCACCAACAAAATATTCCCCGAACTGCAATCCGAGGCCGCCATCCAAAAACCTGAAACGGTCGTCACTTTTGGGCCCATGAGGCTTCAGTCGCGAGGATGTCTCTAGTGGGAGACCAGAGTGTAAGTAAACAGCGGCGAGAGCTCCGAACGAGAGCCTCCTCCTTCTGGGGCAACCACTTCATGCTACGAATCCGAGACAACGACCCAAAGACGAGTAACTAACGTCACTTTTGGGCTCCCAGGGTTTGAACAGCAAGGATGTTCCGAGCGGGAGAGCAGTGCGCAAGTGAATCGCTGCGAAAGCTCCGAGCAGAAGTCCCCTCCCTGGGGCCCCCACTTCACGTTACGAATAATCCGAGGCGGCCAAGCAAGAAATTCAGCCATGATTGGGCTCCCGGGGCTTGAACCGCGAGGATGTCTCGAGCGAGAGCGACGAAGCGTCGAGGGGGAGTCCCCTCATTTTGGGAGGAGGCATGGGGGAGGCAGCAGGCAGGAAGAGGCAGTAGGAAGAGGCGGGAGGCCGGAGGGGGGCATGGGGCGGAAGAGGATGCAAGAGGGGGAGACTGGAGGATGAGGCAGGAGGAGGCGGAGCAGCCAGAAGGAAAATGAGGCAGGAGGAGGCAGGAGGAGATCCCCTGGCGAGCTATGGAGATCCCCATGCAGGGTGTCACCGTCGGAGTACCGTGAGCAGTTCCGTGAGTGCCTCCGGTTGTCTCCCGCTGCCTCCCGATGTCTCCCGTGGCCTCCCTGTGTATGGTATTCGCATGAGTATGGCTATGATAAGAATTGTCTGTTATAAGCATAGCCCTAGCATTCGTGCTACGATGAGGCGTGCTAGTGCCATTCGCCTGAGTATGCAAGGTCGTATGAATGTTGCCACTCGGCTCTGCCGTTATCAATATTAGCGATCATACCTTTATCAGTACCAGAAGAATTAGCAGCTCGAGAATTGACACCAGTATTCGTGTCAATGTTGATACTATGTTGCGCCTCACACTTGTGTTGGCAAAAAGATTCCTTGCATGATTATCCGTACGTCGATGAGTATGAGTCTTCGCATATATACATATATATACGTATTCGAGTTTGCACCATTATTCGTAAGAGTCGCGACATGATTCGTATTCTCAATAATCGTACAAACTGTAGGCTGCCTACGAATGTCAGCCAGCGAGGACTCCAAACCGTGAGTTCGTGCCATCTGTGCGGCGCAATCTAGGTGGTGCAATCAACGTGGTGCACTCTAGGTTGCGCAATCCATGTGGTGCGCTCTTTTTGGCGCAAGGCAACGTTACGCAATGCAGAGCATCGCAAGGCGATGCAAGGCAATGCGAAACAATACAAAGGCATGCAACGCAACAAGCGACATGCGAACCAATGCAAAGCAATGCAAAACGATACAAATCAATGCGGAGCACTGCAACGCAATGCAGAGCAATGCCAATCGAGATGTGCCCAGCTCGGGCAAACAACTCCGCGCAACTTCGCCTCGCCCAGGCGCACGACACGAAACGGCACCGAAACTGATTTCCAGGGGGCTGTCCGTTTCACTTCGATCTCACGCCCCAGGCCTCCGATGCGGAGCGTTTGCGGATCCATATGGGGCCGCATGGAACCACACGAGGCACAATCTTCAATTGGATCAAGGTGGAGTCGGCTGGCTGGGCAAAATTGGAATAAGCACGCAAGAATAGCAGGGCCGAGAACAAGTATCTCCTGGGAGTCGCAGCCTGGACAGCGGACCACTAACCATACAGGCCTCCGAAGCGAGGTCCGAGTAGATGGGGTCGGAGAAGCGCACCCCATCGCCGATGCATCGCCGATGCATTGGCGATACATCGGCGACGTGGGCGGTGCATCGGGGCACCTGGCGTGGAGAAACCGGCCTCCACATCGAGCCGTGTCCACGATGCATCGGCCATGCAGCGCGCTCCTGCGACCCCCACATCTGCTCGAGCCCCACCCGGAAGGCCTGGGCACCAAGTCGCCCCGAGTCGCGCCCCTCGCCCTGCGATGCGCAGAGCGCCAGTATTTTCGCGCTGGACCGCCGCCGCCGTCGGGGAAAGGGGCGCCTCTGCGGCCGGGCCGCGGCGTGCGAAGCCTGGCCCCCTTCGCGCCCCTGCGGGTGGCACGGGCCGCCGGGGAGAGCGACGACAGCGAGAGGGCGCTGGCTGCAGGGGGAGGCACGGGGAGGTCGGCGTCGACGCCACGGGTGTGCGAGCCCAGCGGCCTGCACAAGAACGAAGGTTGGAGCAGAAGGAGGGGCGGCGCATTTTGAAATGTACTTTTAGTGTGTGTGTGTGTATATGTCTACGAGACTGCAGTGGCGCTTCGCGCCGTGCACCTTGGTCCTTGAAGTTTGGTAGGCAGGCGGAAATGGCAGAGAGGTCCAGCTGACAATCTAGCGATAACTCCTTGCTGCCTTTTCTGGCATCGCCGTTGTAATAATGTTGTTCGTTATCCTTCCTCCATGTTTATTTTTCCTCATTCTCGCCATACCCTGGGCATTTTCCCCATCCTCCTCAGCTCTTTTTGCGGAGACTCCTCCTCGGAGAGACTCTGGGGACCTCACCAAAGTTCTCAGGCTCTCCCTTCTGGAGGCCTCCTGGGCGTGTTCAGGGGGGCCTCTGGGGCTTCCTGAGGCCAACCTGCCTCTAACCGCGGTCTCCCTGAACGCCCTGGTCACGATGTGGAATGCTTCGGAGGGTGTCTTGGGGCCATCTTGGGCCGCCATGGGGCTCTCTTGGGGCCATCCTTGGAACCCTGCTGTGCCGTTTTGGGGCTCTCTTGGACTGCCTGGAAGCCCTTTCGGATGGTTGTGGGCGATTTGGGAGCCTCCCAGGCGGCTTCGGACGCCCAGGGGACCGCCGTCTTGGAGCGTCGGGAAGCCGAAACGAGGATAACCCCAAATGCACTAAAAACCTACATATAATCAATGATTTGTCCCTCTTGGGGCCTTCTTGAGGGTGCTCTTGGAGGCCTCTTGGTACGTTTTGAAGCGATCTTTCGGGGTATGACGGCTTCTTAGAGCGCTCTTGTGCTGTCTTGGGGGTCCCTGGGACGTCTCTGGTGACCCCCCTGATCGCCCTGGGTGTACTGCGAAGGCTTGGCAAAACTCCCTGCGAGGCCCTGGGGGGCCGCTTCGGGGCCCGTCCGGAGGGCCCCAAAGCCCCAGATCCCAAGGGTCCGGTTTTTAGGGGGAGGTGGGCCCGCCCGGGCTTATAAAAATATAGGAAGAGGAATATATACAAAATCCGCGGTGTTAAAATCCCACAAATGGCGTTCTGGCGCTATTCCGTATCGTCAAGACGCAGCAGTCAGGTTGATACGTGGCGTTGAAATCCCGAGAGCAATGTTTTGGCACGCTTCAGGATCTTCAAGCGGTTGTCTTCCAACGAGGCAGTTCACTCAATGGTAATGAACCGTTGTATGGGCCTATGAAGAGGGAGCTTGGAGGGAGGGTTAATCCCAACATCGTTGATGACTCTTGGGTTTGCACTGAGCCTCTCACTCCCCCTCCTCCTCCTGCTCCTCCGCGTCGCCGTCCTCCTCCTCGTTCTCTTCACCCAGAGGAAGAAGGCGATGGGGATGGGAAGAAAGAGGTTGACGAGGAGAGTCGATAGAGTCGGTTGACGCGGCAGCGCTGTGCGTGAAAACTGGGGGGAGGTGGGCCCCATGGCTGGGCATTCTGCGCTGTGTTACCAGGCTGTCGAAAGTGGTTCATATTCCCCCTGCTCTTTCGCGACGCCTTTCGCTACTCATGTCCATCCCTTCTACCTCATCTCCGCCTTCATCGTCGTCTGTCTCCCGTTGCCCCTGTCTCCCGTTGCCCCTCCTCCGCCTCCTTGTCATGTTCCTCCTATTATCCACGTCTCCTCGTACTCAAGATTCGCCGCAGACAACTTCTCTGCATTCTGGTTGATTTTCTCCGTGATCTTCTTGGCCTCGCACTCTGACGCTCTGAGGAAAGCGGCTGTCGACGGAAGAACGCACAGAGGACAATGCACTGTCGAATTTTCGTCACGCTGACGGGAAAATAAAAGTGCGCTGCACAACAGACGCAGGCCCCCCCTTGAGTCAAGTGCACACCAATGTCTTAGGATTAGGACCATGCTCACCAAGCGCAACAAACCTGTCCCCAGGAGTCCAACATATCGAATAATCCACTACGTAACGATCCGTCGAGCAAGGCCTCATCGCCGACCTAGATCTCAGCAGCGCCCCACAGGCCACTGCAAGGGAGCCAACCGGAGCGGAAGCGATGGAGAGAAAGAGAAAGAGAGAGAGAGAGATGACGAGAAAGAAAGACATTGAGAACAATGAGGAAACGAAATCGAGGGCATGGATGACAGGGGAGAGAGAGAGAGAGAGAGGCGCACGTGTACATATATTCAGTGAGAGAGGGAGAGAGAGAGAGAGAGAGAAAGAAAGAAAGACAGAGAGAACAAAGAGAGAGAGGGAGAAAGCGAGAGACAGAGAGAGAAGGGGATGCAACAACAGAGATAAATAGTGGGCCTGTACATGGACAATACATTCGAACCCTTACACATTCGAGGGAGATTCTAAATCACCCCCCCGCCCCTGACATCGATATTGATCTCAGTAAAGGCGGTGCTTTGGGGTTCGAGTATTTCTGTCCACTCACGCCCCCCCCGTTGCCACGCCATCAATATTAATTTCGGGGGGTCTGGGGGGCATCTTGGGCCACAGGGTTCGAATATAGTGTCCATGTACTGGCTATATATATATATAGAGATAGAGAGAGAGAGAGAGAGAGAGATAGAGAGAAAAAAAAAACACATCAAAAACAAAACAAAAAGAAACGAACATTCGGACGACGGGTCGTCCATTCCCCCGGGCCGCACGTGCCCGGAAGGCTTTCCTCGCAAGGTGGGAAGCGCCGCATATGAAACGTGGGTGGTGGGATGGCACCCCCCCTTCCCCAGACTAGCAGGGTCCCCGTCTGGAAAAAAATGGCAGGCAGCGGTGACACGGAAAAGGTGCCAGCAATTCACGAGGCGACGAGAGGAGGGGCTATCACGGGGGTGTCGCGCAAGGCTTGGACATTGCCGTGGAAGGACGCTGCCATGGCCGGAATGTCCGCTGCAGGCCGCTCCAGACCTCTTGCGCACGGTAGAACATGTCGACCAGCGGTGCTGACTGTCTCTGGATCTGGTGGAGAGAGGTCACCATCTGATTGGCTCGCTGGTGGAGCGCTTGTATCCTGGCGGTGAGAGTTCTCTTGCGGTCCCCTTGTTGCTGGCCGCTGGCCGCAGTGAGGTGCTGCGCGAGGGCTTGCCTGCGTTTCGTGCGTTGCGCGAGGCCGCTGGCGCGGTGGCCGTCACCCCTGGCATCGCGGCCGTCCCCGTCGGACCCCTGGTGGGCCGAATCGGGGGGCGCGGTAAGTTGAGAGTGATGGGTGGCCATCGTGCCTTGCGGCTGCTGAGCGTTGAGCGGCTGAGCGCTTGCCGTCTTGCCAGGGTGGTCCTTTACGGCGAGGCCTGGTTACTGCCCTGTCCTGTAGACGAAAGGGGGCGTCAGATCCTACTCCCCCTGCGGGTGATCCCACCACGGGTTTCTCCATCGCAATGGTCTCTGGCGAGACGATCATAGCGGGTGGTCCTTTCGGGGCGTCATCCTTTGCAAGGGCGGGCGGCTCCGACGATGGCCCATGGGATGGTGGACCCGTGGACGTGGACCGTCGTGTTCGGAGGAGGGTTGGCCGCTTTGACGATGGCACCAAAAAACCTGGTCGCCCCATTCCAGCGCGTGTGATGCGGCACTTCGCATTGGCGAGAGCAGCACCGGCCCCGCGGAGTTCTTGGGCGACTTGTTTCGCCTCCTGGGTTCGCCTCGACTCTGATGCCCACCCTTTTGTCCGCACGGACAGCACCAACAGCTGGGTGCTTGGTGGGGGTGTTGTACGCTTCCTGGCGCATGGTCTGGTGACCATCTAGGCACCAAAATGATATAATGTAGTCGCTAGGCCGGTGTTTTGCGGAGCCGCGGTGCTTGGGGTCGAATTGGGTCCCCCACCGAAGCAGAGTATCAGAGGGGCGCCAGGCTTAATCCCAAAGGTGGCCGTGGGCTGGCGTTTGCCTACCGCTGTGCCGTGGCGCCCTAAGAGCTGCATGGCCTCTTGTACTTGCACGGTGCGGAAGTGAGACGCGAACGCGGTTGTCAACTCGTCACTGGGGTCGTCATCAAGCTGTTTGAGTGAGGCGTCCTGTTTGGTTGATTTGTGGAGTGGTTTCGCTTTTTGCTGCGCCGTGTTTGGTCCGCCGAGGTGGCGGTTGCCGTTGACAAGTGCAGCTTCTGAAAACGGCCTGTAAACTGACTGCACCATGAAACAATTCCTCGAGCGCTGGCGCGACCGCGATGGCATCAGCCTCGCAGATGGCGCGGACACAGACGAAGTGTCAGCTTGGTCGAAACTAACCTTGACGACGTTTATGGAAGCACTTGACCTCCTCCCGCCCGGGTTGGTACATGGTCCCTTGGATGTGCTTTGGCGTAGGCTTGGTAGCCTTGACTGTGCGACGGAGCACTGGGAAAGGGCTCTCTTTACCTGGGTAGTTCGTGCTGATGGGACCCAGTACTGCGAGGGCCAAAAGTTTGTCTGGTGTGCGGATCTAGCGTGCGACATGACATGGTACTGTCGTTCGACGTCCTGTCACCCTCCCTTTTTCGGGCGCGGTGGTAAAGGAACGTCCCAGCTGTGGGCGTCCAAGATGGTGGGGGGCCCTGCCTCTGCCCTGGTGGGCATGTGCGTCGACCGTCGTCCCTACTGTTGGTGTGGGTCACGGTATACGGCCTGTTTGTGCGTGAGGCAGTTAGTTCACGCAGCATGGTGCAGCTGACATTGTGTTCCCCGCACCCTCTCAGTAACTCGCCCCTGAACTTCCGTGGGTCGGAGCTGTGTTGTTGGTAAATAGAATCGAGACTCGTTTGGTGTTCGTGCGCGAGTTCGTTATGTGCAGCGACTGCTCGGTCGACGACACCACTGCTCCGGAGTTTGGCAGCACAGGCTCCCTTACAACTGAAAGTGGTACCCCGTCGATCTGCTAAGGTAGCCTTTTGGCGGCCCCTGCCTGGTGGCTTGGGCTGCTGTGGTGCACGGGGCGCACGACGAGGACCTTTCGGCGCCATGGCGCGCGCGTATACTGAAGGAGAGGTGACGCCAATCTGCCACGGTCAGGTGTGAGCCATGTCGTGCCTCGCGAGAAAAGAATGGATGCAGGGCGTTCGGCGTCTGGGTTCGCTCGAAGCAGAGCTTTCGAGCCGAGACTGTAGCCAAAATGGTTGCGGAGCAAAAAACAGAGAGAGAGAGAGAGAGACAGAGAAAAAAAATCAACAACAACAACAACAACAATTACTAGCACGTGGGGACACACCGTTCTCACCAGTGCCAGGGTTTTCATGGGACGCCGGCCAATACCCCCACTTTGTGGGGGGGCAGTTCAAGCTCTCCCAAATTTCCAAACGACTCTTCGCGACCACCCACACCCAGCTTCCCGCCCTATGACGTTCGGACACTTCACTTCGTGGCATGCGGACGACCTTGGCTACTACACTGGCGCATGGGTACAGTGACTTGTTGTGGTAACATTTTCTGGACGCTAGCTTAGTATACGACTTTTCCCACTTTTCAAACACTCGACACCTGTACTGGTTTTTGATGGTAACATGTTTCTGACGCTAGAATAGGACACCACGGTATACCAGTACGACGCCGGTACTGTCTGTACGTACGTTTTCATATGTTTTATTGAAGTCGTAGCTTGAAATTGTTGAAATCACAGTGTGTTTGGCAGGATTTCGAGGTGCGCGCGCGGCGGCCGCGCGCATGTGCCCGCGTGTCATTTTTTGCAAGGGATGGTGGCCCTCGCAGGCGCGCAGACGTTGTTGAAGCAGTTCGAGGTGAGCGCAAAAGTTGCCCTCGAAGCCCCGTTTGATAGGAATGTTGAAAAACCATTGGTTTTGGAAGGATTCAGCATGCGCGCGGGGGCAGATTTTCTGAATTTTTGGATGAGAAAGTGGTGTGTTTTCATATGTTTTCTTGACATCGCATCTTGAAATTGTTGAAATCACAGTGTGTTTGGCAGGATTTCGAGGTGCGCGCGCGGCGGCCGCGCGCATGTGCCCCGCGTGTCATTTTTTGCAAGGGATGGTGGCCCTCGCAGGCGCGCAGACGTTGTTGAAGCAGTTCGAGGTGAGCGCAAAAGTTGCCCTCGAAGCCCCGTTTGATAGGAATGTTGAAAAACCATTGGTTTTGGAAGGATTCAGCATGCGCGCGGGGGCAGAATTTCAGAATTGTTTGATGAGAAAGTGATGTGTGTTTTCATATGTTTCCTTGACATCGCATCTTGAAATTGTTGAAATCACAGTGTGTTTGGAAGGATTTCGACATGCGCGCGCGGCGGCCGCGGCGATGTGCACTTTGTGTCATTTTTTGCAATGGATTCTTGAAATGTGGTTATGTTAGAACAAGAAATGTCATTTTATATTGTTTTTTGCAAGGGAAAGCGGGGGGGAACAAAACAACCGGATCTGGATCACATCGTTTTGTCAAGGGCTTTCACTCGAAAATGATGAAAACAAGGCTGCGGCCTAGATAAAACGGGGGGGTCGCGCACCAGGGGTCCCAACAATAATATTTCTTTAGAAGCAATAACATTCAACAACAACAACAACGACAACGACAACGACAACGACAACAACAACAACAACAACAACAACACCACCACCAACAACAACAACAACAATAAACATAATGTTAAGACTGAGTGTCGAATAACGCGAATTTCCCAAACCCTCGATACCCGCCCTTTTCGTCTTCGATCGAACCCCTTTTGGGGGGTATACCTTCTTCCCTGCAGGCCGGGGCCCGGCAAGCGGCGGGGCGGCCGCGGACCGTCGGCCTGGCCAGCGGCAGCGCTGATCGGCGGGGCGGCCGCGGACCGTCGACCCGACCCCAAGAGGGACGGACAGGGGACCGACCACGACGACGACGACGACGTCGAAGACGACGTCGAAGACGACGGCAACGACGGCGACGGCGACGACGACGACGAGCGAAAGCGAGAGCGAGAGAGAACGACAGCAGGGCCACGAAGGACACGAAGTAGGCCACGAAGGGCGACAGCGTGGACACGAAGGGAATGCGTATGGGGCCACGAAGAGCGCGAACGAGCGTGGGCCACGAAGGGCAGAGCATGCGGGGCCACAGAAGGCGACGATGGGGCCAATGAGGGTAGCACCTGGGCCACGTAGGACAATGAGGGGGCCACAAACGGCGACAGCAGGGCCACGAAGGGCATGCACATGGGGCTACAACTGGCGCGAACGAGCGGGGGCCACGAAGGGCGTACGTAGGTTGGACCGCGGAGGGTAAGGACGGGGCCACTGAGGGCAGCAACGGGGACACGAAGGGCAGCGAGGGGGCCACGAAGGGCGACAGCGGGGCCACGAAGGGCATGCATATGGGGCCACAACGGGCGCGAACGAGCGGGGGCCACGAAGGGCATACATACATGGGGCCACGAAACAAAGCGAGGGGGCCACGAAGGGCTGCACCGGGGCCACGAAGGGCAGCGAGGGGGCCACGAAGGGCTGCAACGGGGCCACGAAGGGCTGTAACGGGGCCACGAAGGGCAGCGAGAAGGCCACGAAGGGCTGCAACGGGGCCACGAAACAAAGCGAGGGGGCCACGAAGGGCTGCAACGGGGCCACGAAGGGCAGCGAGGAGGCCACGAGGGGCTGCAACGGGGCCAGGAAACAAAGCGAGGGGGCCACGAAGGGCTGCAACGGGGCCACGGAATAAAGCGAGGGGGCCACGAAGGGTTGCAACGGGGCCACGAAGGGCAGCGAGATCCCGATTCCTAGTAATCTGTGAAGGAGTCCTAAGCGTGAGCGCGACTCCTGGGCGCCTGGGTGTCGGGAGCGCGGCGCTGGAGTAAATTGCAAGAAATTCCAACGCAAGGGCGCTATTCTTTAGTAAATTGCAAGCAAGTCTCCAGCGAGAGCGCGACTCCAGAGCGCAGGAGGAGCGATTCCTGAATAGATCGTAAGGAAGTCCCAAGCGAGAGCGCGATTCTTGAATAAAATGCGAGGAAGTCTCGGGCGGGAGCGGGGGTCCTGCCTAAATTGTGAGGAAGTCTCAGGCGGGAGCCATTGTTGTTGTAACCCGGGGGCCAGGGGGCCAGTTTGAGCAGGAAGACTTTCCTTTACAAAAAATAAGGTGCGAGCCCCGGGGGGGGCACTTCAATTGAAAAAACAATGTGCACCGGTGGGGGGATCAACAACAATTATTCTTCAAAAGTGAGAGCTCAACAACAACAACAACAACAACAGCAGCAGCAACAACACCAACAACAACAACAACACCACCACCACCACCAACAACAACAACAACAACAGCAGCAGCAGCAGCAGCAACATCAACAACAACAACAACAACAACAGCAACAACAACAACAACAACAACACAAATGATAGAGAAATAGGAGAGCGAGAACGAGAGCCATGGCGAACGATTTGTTCGCCGCTTTGCCTCGGGCACGCTGGGGCCTGTTCGAATGCCTGCTTGCTGTCTGGTAGAAGGCTAGGTGACATTTAAGGGACGACGTCCTCCTGTATTGCCCTCTCCCGTCGAGGACATGTTAATGTCCAGCGGTATTCACCGCCCCAACACCAGCCAGGAAGCCCCCAAGACGACCCAAGAGAACCCCCCCACTAGCGTCAGGACTCTTCTAGGCGGCCCCAAGACTCTCCAAGACGTGCCAACAGGGCCCCAACGGTCTCCAGGATGTAGCGATGAAGCAATCAAGCATCTGGACGGACGGATAAATCTGCCAGTCTCCTTGTGGGGCCATCAGGCTGCGCGGTCGAGGTTCCCTGCAACCTGCTCCACTTCCAGTTTTCAATCTCCACCGTGACAGTTCTACTTTCAGCTTCATGCTGAAAAATATTACAATGTGTTAGTGTTAGCGCGGAAAGAAGGGGAAAGGAGGGGCGAAAACCGCCCAGTTACTGCACCCGTGTCGCGTGCGCTACATTTTTTGGGGGGCCCAGGGACACTAAAATACATTATATTCGCGCCCCCGAGGTAGGCGATAATCCTTCGCAAATTATGCTGGTTCGCGCTCCCGAAGTAGAGCTATGCCCGATTTGCGCTCCCGAAACCAGATTCCTTTGCAAATTCGCCCATATTCGCGTTACCGAGGCCGGATGCCATCCGTCGCACATTACGCGGCATTCGCGCCCCCGAGGCCCTCGTGAATTACACCAGATTCGCGCTCCCGACACAAGATTTCCTTGTGGCTGACGCAAAATTTGCGCGCCCGACGCCAGAATCCATTATACATTACACCAAGTTCACGCTCCCGAGGCCAAAATCCGCTTCAAATTACGCCGGATCCGCGCTCCCGACACAAGATTCCCTTGTAGCTGACGCAAAATTCACGCTCCCAAGGCCAAAACCCATTGTACATTACATCACGTTCACGCTCCCGAGGCCAAAATCCTCTTCAAATTACGCCGGATCCGCGTTCCCGAGAGGACGCTCCCAAATGCAACAACTTGTTCTATAATAGCTGCAACATCTCCATATGGTCTGCTGGTGCTGTTCTGTCCCTGCATGATGTTGCCAGATGTGTTCAAGACGGCGTCCCGACACCCCGACACTAACAAGGGATATGTCGACCCCTCTCCCAGGCTTCACGGGATTTTCGAATGGACCAGGAATTGGGGGCCAAACCCTGGGATGTACGATGGGGGGTGGCAACCCTTGATAGGGTTGCGTCCGAATAACCCCCTTCGGGTGTATCCCAGGGTTCCCCCCTTTTTCTGAGCGGCCAAAGTTTTCAGGCGGAACTCGGGGGGTGGGGGAGAAAGATCGCCTGCGAGCTCTGATATCGTCCACTATGGAGGGGGCCGGCGACAGAGGGAGAAACTGCGGAGCGGTCGGACATTTGGGCATGCTGGCAAACCAAGCCTCAGATGAAGTGCTACGCACGTTGGTCAGGGATAAGCAACATTACGACGAAGCCAGAACGAGGTCAAATTCAGGTGAGGATAAATCGAGAATCTCTGAGATCTGGCGGCTCTGGAGAATGTATCGGGCGCCGCGGCCCTCTCAGAGCGTTCTGGAACGCTCACAACGCTCTGGAACGAAGTTATCCTCGTCCTCGCCCCGCCCGAATCATATTGGCATGGCTCTGCACTTCCCCTGAGCAGTGACAGCCTTTTCCTTTTCACCAGATGACGGACCTTGTGTTCGCAAGGAAGAAGATGACATACAGCGTGCCTGCTTCTGGGATGACTGAAGATCTTTACATTTGTTGGCGAGCTCGTTCACCTGCACCTGGTAGTCCGACTTTCCGAAGTCTAACCTCGGACAATCGCAAGGAAGTAGGCAACATAACAAGACCAACCTCTGAGAGCTGACCCCAGGAGTCGTGAGGCTTATGAGGTAGAGTGAGGCTGGACGAACAAATCCAGATAGCTAAACATGCTACCTAACGCAGTGGTTTCAATATTGCCTCTGAGCTCAATCATTCGCAGGGTCCTCCTCGAGGGTCCTCCCTGACGGTCTTCCCTAAGGGTCCTCTTCCCTAAGCGTCCTCTTCCCTAGTGGGTCTCTTCCCAAAACCGTAGGGCCCTAAGCTCATCATTAAGGGCTCTCCCTGAGTGTGCTCTTCCCTGGGGGTCCTCGCTGGGGATCCTCCCCAAGGGTTCCCCCCTAAGGGTCTCAAGGGTCACTTACTCGTGATTGGTAGGCTATCCTGTGCTGTTCGGTCCTCGTTTCCAAGGGACAGCGCACCGCGTTCCTCCTCATCACCCTCCTCCTCCATCCTCCTCCTCCCTCCCATCCTTGCCTCTGCCTTCCGCATGTCTCTGTTCCAGCACACCACTCACACGTTCCGTGGCCCCAAAGAGAGTTTCACCAAAGGCCCCAGTCGCGGTGTCCCAGCGCGGCCGCCCCACCCATCACGGCACGGACCCACGTGCACAGTAGTTCCATAAGGGGGCTCCACCGAAGGCACCAGTGGCGGTGTCCACATGCGGCCGCCCAACTGATTTCGGCTCTCCCATCACGCGCTTCATGATCCCACATGGAGCTCCACCGAAGGCCCCAATGGCCTAGTCCACATGCGGCCGCCACACACATGTCGGCACAGCACTGACACACTTCATGACCCCATAGAGAGCTCCACCGAAGGCCCCAGTGGCGGTGTCCACATGCGGCAGTGGAGCACACTTCGGCGCAACCCTCACACGTTTCGTGACGCCATCCGAGCTCCAGCAACGGCCCCAATGGCGGTGCCCACATGCGGCCGACCCACCTATTCTGGCACACCCCATCACGCGCTTCGTGGCCCCATAGGCAGCTCCACCGAAGGCTCCAGTGGCGTTGTCCACATGCGGCCGCCGCAAACATTTTGGCACAACCCTCACCCGATTCGTGACTTCATCGAAGCTCCAACAACAGCCCCAATGGCGTTATCCACATGCGGCCAATCCACCCATTCTGGCACACCATTAACATACAGGGAGCTAAACTATGGGCCCGAGTGGTGGTGTCCACATGCGGCCGCCTCACATATTTCGGCACAGCCCTCACACGTTTCGTGGCCCCATGGAAGGCTCCAACGAAAGCCTCAGAAACGGTGCCCGCATGCGTCCCGCCGCCGCCGCTCACATTTCGGCACAACCCCTTTCACGCTTCGTGACACCATCGGAGCTCCAACGAAGGCCCCAATGGCGGTGTTCACATGCGGCCGCCACACACATTTCGGCACACCCCTCACACGCTTCGTGGCCCCATAGAGAGCTCCACCGAAGGCCCCAGTGGCGGTGTCCACATGCGGCCGCCCCACATATTTCGGCCCCCCCTTACACACGTCGTGACCCCATAGGAACATCCACCGAAGACCCCAGTGCCAGGGCCCGCATGTCACGTTTCGTGGTCCCATATAGCTCCACCGAAGGCTCCAGTAACAGCGCCGCATAGCGGCCTGGCCCCATTTCGGCACACGCCTCGCACGCTTCTCGGGATCCTGCAGGGACGGCCCGATCCTGATCGCGCAACTCGAGCACATCGGGGGTGCAGCCTACAACATGCTGGATTAAACAATGCGGACTGCAAAAGTCGCGAAAGATTCGCATCGAGGTTCCTGTTAGACCCCAGGGCCCCGGTGCAATGTTGTAGAGAACAGCCCAAGGACTCTCTAAACGCTCATGCAGGCGACCGGAAAGTGTTTTTGGAGGAGGTATTGGATGGAATCGCGATTCTCTGGTTCCTCCATCCTTCCATCTTATAATCGTCAAATGGGGTGAGGACCAGAGAATCGTGATTCCACCCGATACTGCCTCCAAAAGCACTCTCCAATCGCATTCCTGAGCGACAAGAGAATTTCTCTGGCGACCGGAGAGTCGCGATTCCGCTGAGGACCTCCTTGGCAAAAATTCTCTAGTCCCATCGACCGAGACTTGCGATTTCGTGTCCCCAGCGGTTCCCGGAACGCATGGGGGGCGCCGAAACTCCAAAATTGAGGAGTGTCCCAAAGTTTCTTGAATCCCCTCAGACGTCGCGAATATATCGAACCAGGCAGGGGGCACCAATGCCAATCTGGACTGGCGTGACCAATGTGGCGCGCTGGCCACCCGCTCGAGACATCCCGGCAAATCGTGGGGAAACCAAAAGCAGGCCGAGAGAACAATGATCCGCAGATTTGCCTCAGCGACGCCAGGCGTGGCCTGAGGGCGGCAGCCCCATGCGAGCCCAGAAAACAAGCGCCGTCACGCAATAGGTGTCAGCAGGGCCCATTGTGCCGTAAAATCGCGCCTCCTCCTCCTGCTCCCCCTCCTCCTCCTCCTCCTCCTCCTCTCCTCCTCCTCCTCCTCCTCCTCCTCCTCCTCCTCCTCCTCCTCCTCCTCCTCTCCTCCTCCTCCTCCTCCTCCTCCTCCTCCTCCTCCTCCTCCTCCTCCTCCTCCTCCTCCTCCTCCTCCTCCTCCTCCTCCTCCTCCTCCTCCTCTCGATTGACCGCGCCGTCCTTCCATCCTGCCTTCTTGGCCCCCGCCTGCCCTCTCCCCCATCCCTCGACGACAATGCAGTGCTGCGCTCGCTGAATCGGGGGTGCCCCCCCTTGCAGTCTTCCAAGCTTCCTGGCCTCACAGGATCTATCTCAAGCCTCAATGGCAGGAGGCTCACGGCCCTACGGCTGCCGCCCTGGTCGCTGCGCCTCGCCTTGGCCAGAATGGCGGAGGCGCCGAGGCGCCTGCTGAGGAGCTGGCGGCGACTGCTGCTGCCGTGGCTCCTGGAGGCGCTGCGCGCGCGGTCGTTATGGGGGACGAGGATGAGAAGCTCGACGACACATGGGCTGACGCCCTGCCGCCCCGCGTACGGCGGCGGCGCGGCGGGCGGCATGCTACTGTTGGAATGGCTGGCGTGTCGGCCCCATGCGGAGCCTGCGGCGGCGGCGGCGGCTGGTGCTGTCGCGGCGGCGGCGGGCGAGGCGGTGGAGGCCGGGGCGGCGGCGGTTCCGCCCCCAGCGGCTCTGGACCGCGCGGGCCTGCTTGCGAGAATCCAGGCGCGGAGCGGCAACGGGCTGGTGCACTGGCCGCAGTTCGCCGCCCTCGAAGACGACAGGCTGCGCTGCTTGCTGGAGGCGCTGGAGCTGTGAGCTCGGCGCCATGCTCGGCGCCCTGGGCGGCATCGCTGCTCGGGCAGCTGGCGGTGGCGTGCGGGCTGAGCGGTGAGTACGCCCTGCGGGGGCCAGCCCTTTGCTGCGTCAAGAATGCAAGGCCCCAGTGGCAGCGCCCGCATGGCCGCCCCGCCCCCTTTCGGCACACCTCTCGAGACATCGTGGCCCCATATGAGATCCATCGAAGGCGATACTCACAACGATGGTACTCGCAACTGCACATGGTTGGGCCCCTCGCCTGCGTAATTGCTTTATTTTTGTTGTGGGGGGCGGCAGCTGCACCTCTGCGAGGATCCTCGAGGGGATTTTTCCAGCCCAGCCAGCCTTACCGAGAGGGCGGCTCCCCCACTTTGGGATGTGTTTCGCACATGTTGTTTTGGAGCCCCCTTCTCGTGGGGAGGGGGGGGGTCGAAAGAACTTCCATCCATCGTTCACGATCGGGGGGAACCACCACTTCCGCCACCGCGCGAGCAGCGATTAGTGGTGTGCGTCGGGCCCTGTCGCCTGCTGCGTAGCGACAAGCAGCCCGCCCCCGACGCACCGAGCCCAAGATGCGTTCGTGTGTTTGGCCAAGTTCCTGCGCTGTTGGCCTTCAATATAAAAGAGAGCCTAAAGGTGGGAAGGGGGAGGGAGGGGTAGAGGTGTCGGTAAGGTGTCTGCTCTGGGAGCTGCACCGTTGATTCTACATTGGCTTCTGCCAGGCTGAGGAGCGGGACGGAACGGAAGCAACCAAGTGCCAAGGAGGGGGCGATGAGGATGGGAGGTGCGAGGGAGGGATGGAGGAGGGCGCGCAGAAGCGGCTTCTCTCATGCAGGAGTGGTGGCGACATCATGGTGCAGAAAGTTACAATTTTCTGATGGAAACGAAGAGGATGACAGTGACGGCGAACTCCCTCTTCAACTTGCCCTTGCAGCGTGCCTGTCTGGTAAGCGCGACAACTCATTTGAATTCTGCGCGTGGTGACAGGGAGGCCAGCCCAGCTCATCCATGGACACTGGGAGATGTCGGAGCTCGGCTTGGCAATCCACTTCCAGCTGCATTCGAACTTGATGGCCGCGTGGCCAGTCCTCAAACATTTTGGTCGGGAACACTGTTTTTCCAGACGGCTTTCGCCGTTACATGAACAAGCCCATGACAAACTATCTGCACGCAACAAGCTTTCATTCCTTGCGTCAACTTATGCGTTTGCAGGATGGTGGATAGTGACGCACAGCTCATGTTTCCGAGGTCTGTGTGTAGCAATTGCTGTGTTGTCGTTGTCTGCTTCTCTTCCTGGCTGCCACCACGCCCCTTTCCTCCCTCGGGTCTCGCTGGCCGTCCTCGCTTCCCCACTTCATCTTCTTTCCGTGCACGCTTCTCTCTCACCCTGTTGGGCACGTGGCACCATAGTTGTAGTCGTGGCGAAAGCCATCGGCCAAAACTGCGCCTGCTTCAGACATTGCGAGAGGAAGCAGAGCGAGGAGACGATGGAGGAGGAGGTGGAGAGGGTGCCCATACCCCCGACGTCCAATTTTTTTGATAACATCGACCCCCAGAAGTCTCGACCCATTCTCAACGATTGGTTTTTCATCCTGAGTCGTTTTCTGGCGGTCCCACGGCCAATTAAGGGCCCCGGGAAGCAGAAACTAGTGAAAACCTCCCGTCATGATTTTTGTCGCTACTTGCAAGGTGTGGGGTGATAGCAAAGGGATGGTCGGGGAGACAAGCGATGCCACGAGAGCGGGGAAAGCGACGTGTGGGGGGGGGCGCCATCACACCGAGAAGGCCGAGGAATCGGGACTGCGGCCGACGCCCCTGCCTCCCCTCAGACACCCGGCGTCAAGAAGTTTTCGTGACGTGGGCAATTATCGGCGACTCCGAAGGGTGTGGTTTTGAAAGGGTGGGGGTTGCAACGCGCACTCTGGGGGGCGACAGAGTTCTCCGCCGCGGCCCGAGGAGGCCCGAGGAGGGCAACGTGGTGCCCCCCAAGACCGAACGACGCAGATCGCAAACCGCACCCCAGCGTAGCCGCACCCCTAGCGCAGCCGCTAACGCACCCCAGGTAAAACAGTTTCTGTTTTCGTGTTCCCTTCCAGAGGGACCCAGGGAGACACAAATAAATAGACACCAGTTCACGGATTCCAGACGTTATTCCATACATCCAGTATGTTCGTCTTCCCCGATCTTCCTGGGAAGCTACGCTTGCTCGTGTCTGTGTGTACTTCCCCCTTCTGGCTTCAGCTGCTGCCCCTGACCCCTGAACCCGCTGACGGCCCTGGGAGGCCGAGATGGATGGAAGACGCGCCGGCGGATACCTGGGTCGGGGATCTACAGTAGGAGCTCAACCAGACAAAACCTTCCACAAAAACCAAACCCTGAGACCCCTAGGACGTCCGTTAATTTTTGGTATGGGAACGTCACGCTTTCCATAGCAAAACCGTCGAAACCCAAGAAACCCAGGGCACCCTGGAGCAAGCAGGGTGTTTCTTAGCATGGGTTTCCACTGTACTGATGCGGGTAAATCCAGACCCCGGGTCAGTCAAGCTTTGTAGGATCCTCCAGGATCCTGCAGGATTATGCGCCCAAGCCTGGGGCACTGCACCCCTGGCTCGGCAGGGTCCTGCAACATCCGGCGCTCTGACTAGCCCCTGTTTGAATTGACCCCAGCCTCTTCAAGGGCTCCTAAGTTCGCGCTTCGCGCTGCGCGAAGCGCGAATAACTTCGCGCTCTCGCGCCGCCCCCCAAGGGGGAGAAGAGGAGGACGAGGAGGAGGAGAAGGAACGAGGACCGCGAAGCGCGAAGCGCGAATAACTTCGCGCCCTCGGGGGAGCCCTTGCTCTTAAACCCCGACTGGGTCCGCCGCAAACCCTGCCGCGCCAGCCGGCCCGTCCGCCGCCGCCCGCCGTCGGCCGCATGCGCAACCCGAGGCTCGTAGCGTGTTGGCACCTAGGGCTCCCAACTTCGCGCTTCGCGCTCCGCGAAGCGCGAAGCGCGAATAACTTCGCGCTCTCGCGCCGCCCTCCCAAAGGGAGAAAAGGAGGACGAGGAGGAGGGGGAGGAGGAACGAGGACCGCGAAGCGCGAATAACTTCGCGCCCTCGAGGGAGCCCTTGTAGAGGTAGACTGAACACGAAGGCATGACGCGATACATTCGTCAAAACGTGGGCCACTACGCTGAGCCAACACGCAACGAATTGACACGGACGTTTTAAGCACGATGCGTGTTGCGTCTCAAGACGAGCGTATCGAGTCAGCTAAGGTGGTGACTGACCGCCCAATGGCAGACCTCAGGCCCCCGAAGATCTCAGCGGACGGTGCGCCACCGTGGCGGCCCCCGGCGCTCGGAAAGTCCTTCTGGACCAAACCAAGCCCCTGGACGGCCGACACACCCCGAACAGCCTTGGACCTTGGACTCACTGGGCGGCGCGGCCACCAGACCCCTTGGACCCCGCGGGTCGTCGTCGTGCCCTGTGCGCCTGCGTTCCGGCGCGCCCGGCGGCTCCCCCCGTGGGAGCATGCGCGTCAAACGGTTCTGGGCCTTGGCGTCGCTGCACTGGTCCGGAAGGATCTCGAGCAGCTCCTGCAGACACTCGGAAGCGTCTGCCACGGGCAGTTCTTCTATTTTGCTAAGGCTCCTTGCCCTGCAAACACCTGCGTGTCCTGCTTGCTCTGCTCGGAGTCGAGGTGAACAAGCCTGGACATCCAGCGTCTCGATGGTTTCCGGACGCTGGCCCACAACCTCTCGACCACTTCCCAGGGCCCGGTTTTTCATCCCGAGTCCTTTATCGACGGTCCTGAGGCCCAGGACGGGCCCCCCAATGGGGAAACCAAAAGGTACCGATACCACTACTCCCCGGACCTCTCCAAGGGTGCGTCCTGACCAGCGGGAAGGGTAGCGGTATGGGTACCTTGTCCTCCTCTGACCCAGAGGCCGAAAACGATATAAAGCCTCCGTCTCAATTTTCTGGAGACGCTGGATGTCTGGGAAAGCGCGGCGGGAAAGCGATATTGACCATCTTCGGCCTCCAGGGTGCCTCCCGCAGGGCCATGGGGCTGGCGAAGCCTGCGCGTCTGGGGAGGGAGGCATGCGCGTCCGGGCCCTGGTCTCGAGGCCACGAGGTCCTGAGCGCCAGACTTCCACACTAGACGCGTCGCGATCCCGGCTGTACGCATCTCTCTCCGGTGGCATCTGCTGGGCTTCGCGCGAGTATGCCGCACGCCGCACTTCACGATAAGCGGCAGCCCCAGAGGATCTCGCTCAGTGCGAGTGCGCATCACACCTTTATCTGCCCGCCCACGTTCCTGCTCATCCCACTCATCGCGAAACAGCTGTCGCACGATGCAAAGCGAAGTGGCGTGCAAAAGACCTTGGCGGCATTGATACTCTCCTCTGCAAGCCCTCGTTCCCTCGTTGCCCTCCAGTTCGCTCTCACCATCGTTCTCAGCGTCAGTACAGATCCAATCTGAACCGCTCTTGCTCTGGCTGTTTCTCTCTCTCTCTCTCTCTATCTTGCTCTATCCCTCTTTCCTGTTCATAAGCTCCTTCACTGTTTGCTAACAAGCCCGTGTCTATCTCTGTTCCAGTAAGCTATGCGACAGGAAGTGCGACAACATCATCAGCATCATCAGGTCGAGGATGCGGGAGCGTCACGTGTGAGCGTGTCGATATAGATACCGCCCCCCCCGTAAGCGCACGGGGCCCCGTACGGAGCATATAAATCCACACACGTGGGACACTTTGGGATTTTCCAGCGAACCGAAACAAATCCGGCTCGCACCGGAAAATTCCTAACGGATGCGTCGAACACATTGTTCTTTCACACGGGTGGCCCTTTCCGGTGAACCGGAACACCTTCATGCCCAGCGGGTGGAGAGGCCATACAATGCCACTGGAGTAGATCAATGGGCATTGTGGCCTTATAAGGCGCACCGGAAAAATCAAGCCCACGCTGGAAAATCATCACCAAGCGCGTGCAATCCATTGTCTTTCATAACGGGGACGGCCCGCTCCAGTGCACCGGAAGATAGGACGGGATAGTCACATTCGTCGAAACGTTCCTGGGTGCGACGTCGGACGCCCTGCGGGCGACGGGTCGATTAGGAGGTTGGGATATGGGAAGCATGACACCGATTCCTCTTCGGGAGTGGATTTGCGATCCCGGTCCCGACACTGGCATATTGCAAGACACGTCGCCGTCGTCGCAGCAGGGTCCGATTGCCGTATTCGCGAAAATGTTCGTAGACGGCACGTACTGGGATAATGAGTTGAAGCCCATGTAGATGAATAGTTCCGCAAGTAATGCGGGGTAGCCTGAAAAGACGAGGACATTAGACAGTCATAGGTGTAACACACGGGTGTAAGCCGACGTGTAATCATACACACATGCGAATGTACACTTGACAACATTTGTGTCCACGACAATGTACAAATGCACGTGTGCATATATATATATATATATACATGTATATATACACAAGACTGCATTGGCGCTTCGCGCCATGCACCTTGGTCCTTGAAGTTTGGTGTGCAAACGGAATAGCAGGAAAGTCAAGCCGACAATTTAGCGATAACTCCGTGTTGCCTTTTCCAGCATCGCCGCTATAATAATGTTATTCGTTTTCCTTCCTCCATGCCTCTTTGTCTTCATTTTCGCCATACCCTGCGCATTCTCCCCATCCTCCGCAGCTCTTTTTTGCGGAGGCTCTTCCTTGGAGAGACTCTGGGGGCCTCACACAAGTTGTTTCAAGCTTTCTTAAGGCCTTGTGGCGACCTCCTGGGCGTATTCTGGGGGCCTCTGGGGACTCTGGGGGCTTCCTCGGGCCACCCTGCCTCCAACCGCGGTTTCCCTGAACGACCGGGTCACGATTTGGAATGCTTCGGAGGGTGTCTTGGGGCCATCTTGGGCCGCCATAGAGCTCTCTGAGGGCCATCTTGGACCCGTGTTGTGCCGTTTTGGGGCTCTCTTGGACTGCCCGGAAGCCCTTTCGGACTGTTGTGGGGCGATTTTGGAGCCTCCCAGGCGGCTTCGGACGCCCAGAAGACCGCTGTCTTGGAGCGTCGGGAAGCCGAAAAGAAGAGAACCCCCAAATTCACCAAGAATCAAGTGAAAATCAATGATTTTTGCCTCTTGGGGCCTTCATGGGAGTGCTCTTGGAGGCCTCTTTGGGACTGTCCTGGAGGCCTCTTGGGCCATCTGGAGGTCACGTCGGTCACTCTTGGAGCGCTCTTGTGCTGTCTTGGGGGTCTCTGGGACGTCTCCGATGACCCCCCTGATCGCCTTAGGTGTGCTGGGAAGGCGTGGCAAAACGCCCTGCAAGGCCCGGGGGGCCGCTTCGAGGCCCGTCCAGAGGGTTCCAAAGCTCCAGATCCCGGGAGTCCGTTTTTTTTTTTGTTTTTTTTTTGGGGGGGGGGTGACTCCTTTCGCGTTCCGCCCAGCTTGTATATATATATATATATATATATATATATATATATATATAAGGGAGTACACAAACATACATGTATATATAGACATATATAGACACACATATTATATATCTGTGTGTGTATGCTTCACGCTTCGCGTGCCAGCCCATTCAGAAGTCCTACGCATGAGAGCTGACGGGAAACAAACACGAAGAGGCCCATGTAGAGAAACGGAGCGGACAACCATCAGTCAGAAGGAGGAGGAGGAGGAGCAGGAGGACGAGGGCGAGAGACGACGAGGACCAGGACGAGGAGGATGAGGACGACGACGATGACGACGACCCTGAATGCCATCTTGGGCTGTTTCTTGGGGCTCTCTCGGGGCTCTCTCGGTTTTTCCCAACCATCCTGTGGTGTTGGGTCCTCGTTTTGAAGACGGTGCCCCGCGTCTCCTCCCGCTGCCCCCTCCCTCCTCCCTCCTCCCCCTCCTTGCCTCTGCTCTCGGCACACCTCTCACACGCTTCGTAGCCCCATAGGGAGCTCCACCGAAGGCCCCAATGGGTGTGCCCGCATGCGTCCCGCACACCTATTTCGGCACACCCCTCACACGTTTCGTGGCCCCACAGGGAGCCCCACCGAAAGTCCCAGTGGGTGTGCCCGCATGCGTCCCGCACACCTATTTTGGCACACCCCTCACATGTTTCGTGGCCTCGGCAGTCTCAAGACAGATAAATTAGCCTGAGTACCAGTGAGGTCTGCACTCGCTTTTGTTCCTTTCAGCGAGCGAAGACTTCGAGGCATCGCCGCGTCACGTGAGACACTGCCTGCAATCTTCTGAGAAAGCTCGTTGGACCCAAAGAAGGCGAGAGAGGCAGCGGAAGGGAGTGCAGGGCGCACGACATGCTTCCTGGGGGCCCTCCTTTCTGCAGCGATGGCCTCAAGGTTTGCCCTGCGGAGCCTCCTCCTCGCAAGCCGAGCTTTGTGCTCAGCTTGGATCGCTGCATCTCGATTGCCTTAGCCGCAATGCTGGCAATCCTCGTCGGCCGCCTCATTTCCTAAAGCCATCCGGAAGGGGCGGTGGCAGAAGGAACTCTGCTCCACACATACGAGACCAATTTTTCAATGCAACAACCTGCGAACAACCACGAGCGCTTGGCAAGCCCACCCCAGCTGGGGGCAAATGGTACGTGGAGCTTTATCCTTCGAAAACTGCCTGAGTAATTATAACGTAACATAAGAGACCTGCACTGAAAGAGAAGGCAGCAAGCTCCCCTCGAGGCGCGCTCTGCTGATGGCCTGGAACTGGGCTTCTAGATGCGGCGGCAACGACAGCTGGGAGAAAGGACGCCATCACCGCGAGACCTACGCCTACTCTCCTGAGGCGCTCGTCTCGAAAATCTCCACCTCCGCTGGCGCCCTCGAAGGCCAAGAACGGGCGCGAATGTGTGCCGCCCCAGGGCCATCTGATCAAGGGCCCCAGCACAGTTGCCAATCCACTGTTAGTCCGAAGCTGGCGATTCGACTTCCACCCACCTTGCAGGCGCAATGCCGCGCAACCAAACACAATCATCTAGCTCATGCTGACTCATCGCATGTGGGAGCAAGTCGTCGGGATGCGTGAATACATCTGAACGGGCGTTGCAGCTGGAAGCCCAAACGCGATGAAACGCGGTCCCTGGTGCGGCGCGACGCCAAGGGCACAGGATGCCCACGTCTTCCCCGACTTCGTCTTAAATGCGATGTCGAGGCCAAGTGCCTCCGACAACAATGCACAACATCAGCTCTGATAGCGCATGACCGTGATCTACTTTTTGTCCTAACCATCCTGTGGTGTTGGGTCCTCGTTTTGAAGAGACAACGCCCCGCGTCCCACCTTCCTCCTTCCTCCTCCTCCCCCCTCCTCCCCACCCCCCCCTCCCAGTGCAGCGCTTCGTAACCCCATAGGGAGCGCCACCGAAGGCCCCAGTGTGGGTGACCGCATACGGTTTCCCCGCCCAGGGCAGCGCTTCGTGGCCCCATAGGGAGCTCCACCGAAGGCCCCATTGGGGGTGCCCGCATGCGGTTCCCCCACCCAGGGCAGCATTACGTGGCCCCATAAGGAGCCCCACTGTAGGTCCCAGAGGGGGGGGGACCCGCATGCGGTTCCCCCACCCAAGGCAGCGCTTCGTGGCCCCATAGGGAGCTCCACCGAAGGCCCCAGTGGGGGTAC